CGGGGTCAAGGCTACAGATGGGCCTCAATTTTCGCAAAAATGTGTGAAGTTAAATCAAGTCGTTACATAAATATCTCTAATGTATGTAAATTTTATAGTAAACTAACACTTACTCGAAAAGTCATCTTTTGTTTATGCTTTTTTTAATAGTTTAGCAGTAAATATAAAATTCATTTACTTTTATTCGTCGACTATTTAAAATTGGCAGTGGTTGCATTGTCATGTCAATGCCGGACGTCTAAGATTGTGATATACACAAATTCAGTGTCAGTCCCTAGTCTCATAATTTGATATACCTACATAATTCACAGAAACCCAACATGTAGATGCCAGAAGTTAACTTCAAATATTTTTAATCACCCTATATACAATACCAATCAATGACGTTTATGTCGCAGGTTGAAGAAAGTAGTAATTCCCGTCTGTTGTTTTGGACAATGGTGGCAACTGCCTTAGACCACCAAATTAAATAATTATGCAATCACCAAAGCAAAGTTTATAATATTTGATTAAACTAAAGGCGCATAATAAAATTTTCATAACGTTAGGTAGAGCACCATAGCAATCTCATTTATTTATTTATTTATTTATTTAAACTTTATTGCCACAATTACAAAAATGGACAAAAGGCGGACTTAACGCTAAAAGTATTCTCTGCCAGTCAACCTTTAGGCATAAAGAAATCCACGAATTCGGCTATAATAATAAAAAAAAAGTGATTTACTTTAAACATACACCAGTAAAAGTAACTACATAAATATTTATTTAAAAATAAACCTAAATATACATGCATAGAATACATTTATTATCAATTTATAGTTCTCTTTGTAGTTTTCTTTTAAAGCGTTCACTTTTAACAGGTCAAAGACTTTGTGTTCGACCCTTTTTTATTGGTAGTGTAAAGCTCGAATGAAAAGTACTCCCAGTAGTGCAATCATGGCAATTATTTTCCAAATTTTTTTGTTTAAAAAAATACCGAATAACGTATCACTGTTAAGCACAAATGCTAAGTAACTTTTACAAATATAATCAAATAAAGCTATTACTTACTTTATTTTTAAATCTTTTTCATCAATTAAATACTTATCTTATCCTAACTATCTATACTAATATTATAAAGAGGCAAGATTTGTATGTTTGTAACAAATAATCTGTCAAACTTCTGAACCGGTTTCAAATATTAATTCATCATAAGGTAGCTACGTAATTTATTATAAAATTTTTCTTTATTTAAATACATTTTGTCCGAGTGACATAGGCTATATTTTATCCCGATAAATTAATTTCGCCCGTACAATGCCCGGGTGGATCACTAGTAAGTATAATATAATATTTTAGATGCGAAAGTGAGTTTGTTTGTTGGGCTTCCGTGCCCTAATAGCTAAATCGAATATAATGAATTCCCATATAGAAGTAGATGGGAACTTGGTTCTTAGCTACAACATCGCAATACTTATAGGCGTAGGGTGGTGAAAGGGGTGATTTACCTTTAAAAATCTACATTATTTACTTTGAATTTTTACAAAACCAATATTATCGCGAGCTGATTAATAAATACAGGGATTCCGATAAGTATGTACTTACTAGCGAAAAATGGGTTATTTGTCATTATATTAAGTAAACCTTTTTTGTAACCTTAAGTAATATCGTAATAATATCTCTTCAATTTCGCTCATCTCTGCATTACCGCCGGAGAAGTTATGAATAATCATGCAGGTCATATACGAACATGCATCCTTTATGTAAACGAAAGATTTAAATCGAGTTTTTGAACGCAACATAAAGTGACATTTGGTTGACGATTTAGGTTATCTATTAGTTATATTTATGAGTGGTTACTCATAGCCAAAGCTCAATAAATGAAAACAAAACTACTAATATTAATTATCATTGTTATTGTTGGTTTAAAAATGTTTGGTTTTTATTCTAGAATAAGCTGAGTGCTAAAAAATTGTTCCGAGATTTTTTTGCAAACCGTATTTTTCAAGCGACATTTGACAGATGGAGGTCATTGGCTATCCGATTCTTATTTGAATCGCATTATAGAGTTTATTATTGTTTGATGGGGAATTACTTTGGGTTGTTTGAGGAATCTACTGTTCTATATATAACAATGTACTCTATGATCTACTGTAGGTACTGTACTGACATAATAAAATAGTTTATTATTTAACGGTTCGTTCGCAAAGACTTTATATAATACCTAGACTGTGTACCATCGCGTTAAAAACGGTCCGGGCGAGAGGGCTTCCAATGGTAGTGTGTTCCTTTCTAATGAAGTGACCATATTCAAGCGTAACGCGGGACAAAATTTGTTATTAGTATTTGTTATTTAATATAGCTTGTAAAGAGGACTGTGTTTAGTATCTGCTACTGTCTAAACATGTAAGTAATTTGTGATTATGAGTTAAAATAAAAACTACATGGCGTATTTTTTAACTTGCTAAGACAAATTCCGACGACGCAGCCTGTAAAGGCTGCGAAACGTCAATAAATAAATAAAGTAAATAAAAAAAGCATTAACCCGGAGAAAACTAGTTTTATTTAATGTGTGATGTGCGTGAAAACCTAAGAAACAATAATGTATCATCAGACTTACCATTATTTTAACATAAATGCCAATACCTGATTTTGGCACCTTTTTTTATTTGCTGTTAAATCGACATAAACTTATTATTTTACTTAATTTAGACTATGTAGTGTTAATGAATATTAAAAACCTCATCTATGCATATACCTCTAAACGCAGACCAAACGAAGTTATGTAGGTTTTAAATATAATAATACATAGGTACTATGAACTGTTTCATTCGCTATTTAAACTAGCACGTGTAGCTTGGCTTGGACTGAGATTAGATAAAGAGGGTGGAATTTTGTAATGCCAGCCACCTGAAGGGAAAGTACTCTTAAAAGTATGTTTATTCAGGTAAGGGGGACCCACATATTGAGGTAGATAAATCGGTCAATGCCAAATCAAATTCATCAAATTCTGAACGGAAAAAAGACAATCATTTGTTTACAATATTTTTATTAAAATTGGTTTTTATACATTGCTAAATAATAAAGTTTTGCGCAGTTTTTGTCGCAATGTAGCCTTATGTCCTACGTGCTCAAGGGTTAAGGACTTCCCGTAGCTTCTAAGTCTTATTTAAATGTCTTATTCATATTTAAAATGCGCACTGCAAACAACTGACGACTTAGAATTTTTTCCAGGCATTGCATTTTCCCACATCAATTTCTGCTTTTCGTTCTTCGGAAATCTACACAATACAAGAAAAAATAAATTATTTTATTTTACTATTTTTGTGAGGAGCTCGATGGCGCAGGTGGTTTGGCGCGTTCGGCTGGTTGAAGTTAAGCAACTTTCGCAGTGGTCGGTCATTGGATGGGTGACCAAAAACATCTATCTCGAGTTCCTCCGTGTTTCGGAAGGCACGTTAAGCCGTTGGTCCCGGCTGCATCTGCAGTCGTTAGCACCCGCCAATCCGCACTGGGCCCGCCTGGTGGGTCATGGTCCAATCTCCCTATTCCATCCATAGGGAAGGCCTGTGCCCCAGCAGTGGGGACATTAATAGACTGATGATGATGATGATGATACGAATCTAGAAACGCTCTAAAAAGTACCTACGAAACAAGGAAGTAACCGCGACCGCATTATTTAATAATTGATTCATTAAATTCACACAACTCATGTTAAGAAAAAAAATGTCATCTACCTCCAAAATTCATGGTTCACCTAATGAATATGATTGTAAGTTTTACTTACCCGTGAAAAGAAAAAGGGCTACCGGGATAAGATTCATTGTAGCACCCTGTTACACAACACGAGTTCACCATTTTAAAAAAATACACTTTATTTAGCAAATTTACAATATTTCAAATCAAATTGTCGTCAAGTGTCATTATTGTCATTGTCATCAAGTGAACAAATCACCATCTTACATGCAGTATTACCAGGCTCAACTAATTAAATACTACTTTTACTCTGTATTTAGATTTATTTTAAAAATATCAATGATTATTTTATTATTTATAGGAACTGTAGAAATGTTTAAATACGTTTCATAGTTTACGAATCGTTCGTATGGGTAATTAATCAGTAAATCACAAATAGAAAAGGATGACATTTTCTACCATTTCTACCAAACCCAATGATAAATTTAGCTGGCAAGACGTTAGAAAGGGACCCACTACCGTTGGGTGCTTTCTCACTCAGGACCGTTTTTACTAGCGACCGCTTATCAAGATAATAGCTATCCTATTACTAGAGATATAAATCTTACTTTAGATTAACTATTTTTTTTCGTGCACAGTCTAGGTATTATATAAAGTCTTTGTTCGTTCGTCCACAGTGTTGTTATGCAAAAAAATATAAAATATGGATTGGGGGCTTTTTCTCATAATGTCAAAAAAGGTATGCTATCGTGAATAGTACCAATATGTAGACAATTTCCTAATTTGAAAGACAGCTAAATTATCACACTTATGACGCGAATGTCGTTTGCTTTGGAATACGAGAGAAATTGCGTCGTTTAGTGGCACCACATCATTGAAAAGTTTTGGGCAAGCGTTAGCAATATGAAATGTGGTGATAGTTCACAAAATATGTTTGAAAATATTTATTTTGTTCGTTTGTTTTTAATATTCTCAGTATACCATACTCATCTGCAAACGTGGGACAAATATTATCGTCAATCAGTTCAATGAAAACTAAACAGCGCAACAAACTCTCTTATTAGTCTTCTCCACACAAAATATGTATTGGAGATAATAATCAACTTTGTTATAATTTAATATTCCCATTTTTTTTCCAAAACAACAAGTAAGAAGTGGTACGAAAATAAATAATTAGCAATCACTTTACCTGATTGATTATCTTTTTAATATTTTATTTTAATTAGTAACATAAAAAAACTGTGGAATTATTTTGCCAAAAAATCTCCCGATTTCTCCCGATTTACCCTATTTCTAAAATTTCACTTTTGCAACACTGGCTGTCTGTTAAAAACAAATACCTACTTTCTTGCTTGCTTTGAATTTAAATTCAAAATACTCATTTTTGTATCCACTACGACATGAAATTTTACTGTTCTTTGATCACTTTAGTTTAATTTTCATACAATGGCGTGTTGTGTGGTGGGTTGTAATTCTAACAAGGAAAACTCCAACACCGCACTTTATCCGTAAGTATAAAAATCATAGTTAAAGACAGAGTAATTAGCGATCTATTGCATTAATGTAATAACATAATAAAATATTTGTATTTTAATGTAAAAATCCTAGTATCTGTTTGAGTAAAAATGCACTGGAACCGAGAGTTAGGTTAAGTTGATGTTGTGACCATACTTCGTTCTGAGAGAAATTTCATCAGAAGTTGTGAGCTTCTGGGCCCAACTAGGGTTGCCTTGCCAGGTCGCCAAACTTAACAGCCGGATAGACCATTCAGTTTGCCGGAGATTTGGGTAAAAAGGCCGGACACCGCATTGCGTGCATTATTGAGGATTTTGTAATATCAGGTACGACAAAAAACTTTATGTAAAATCGTCCGACAGTCAACAACTCGCGGATATACTGTACTTCCAGGGCCCAAAAGTAAAAACTTCACAGTTTTGTTGGTTGTAATTTCTCATTTTTGTTGTTAAAAAGGTTTCTGGTAACCACATTATTAAAAAAAATGTCACACTTATGCACTGGTAGTTTTTTAGAAAAAAATGCGAGCGTACAGCGGCAGCGGCCGGCGAAGCGCCAGAAAAAAAATCTGTTAAAAAGACCTTTTCTACAAAAAAAAAAAACAAGTATCACCTTTTGGGCCCTGGAAGTACAGTTTTACCCAACTCGCTTGCGCTTGGCCACTCTCGGCGCTCACTCGTTTGCGAAATGTAATGAGCCTAACTATGTCCAGCTCTATCAGGACCCCTGACCACGCTAGGCCTAAAAAGTGCAGTTTTACCTATGTTTTATAAAGCTCTGTTTCCTTGATCCACATCTGAAACAGGACACCTGGGATCTGTCACTTGATGACAGACTGTCGCATGACATAAGTTTTTACTAATTCCGAGTATAACTACTTGCTAATAAATTAGATCTTATAATTTAATATAATGGCTTGAACAGTGTAATAAAAACTTATTCTACCTGCATATGATCTGAATTATCACAGTGTTACTATTATACTGGTTTCAACAGTGGCAAAATAACAAATTTGTTGGTACTAATGTAATATATGAATTATGTTCAATGAACACCGTGCCCGAGTGGTTTGTATGCCAGGTTTCATAGTGTCGCCGGCTCGAGAGGTCCTGGGTTCAAATCCCAGTGGGGGCAGATGTTCGTGTCATGAATACGAGCTTTAGTACTCCAGTCATGGATGTTTAATTTGTATTTCTATATAAATATCACAACGACACTGTCACTTATGCTAAAAAATCATTTTTTCAGGAGAAGCATTTAAAACTTTAACGTCCCAAAACATACAATATTTAAAGTTTTATTTTAATTTTTTTTAAGTGAATAGCTAAGCTGTATAAGCTTTTCATCATGTAAAAATCTCTAAATATTGTATGTTTTGGGATGTTAAAGTTTTAGACGCTTCTCCTGAAAAAAATTGTTTTTGCATAAGTGACAGTGTCGCACCGGGGGTGCGATATATATATGTACAGTATTCTATCCATTACACTAGTATCCCATAACACAAGCCCTACAGTGCTTACTTTGGGCTAGCTAATTGGTGTGAGTGTTTATGTTTATTCAAAAGATCTGAATTATGACAGTGTAACTATTATACTGGCTTCAACAGTGGCAAAATAACAAGTTGGTACTGATCTAACATAATTATTATGTGCACAGATATACACTGACTGACTGATAAAAAAATGCTTGCATAGTAAAAATTTTACGTACAGAAACATCTGTGAAAGTTTATTAATCTGTACTTTGAAGGAGATTTCAACACATGGATATTCTCAGTTTTATCTGCATGTATGTATGTATGTCTGCGATTATCTCAAAAACTACTAGTTTTTGGTATATAAGTGCAGATTTAACAGGGAAGCTTTTAGTGTTATATATTAGAAGTGCCACACAGTTTCTGCCGCGTAATCTGCATGCAAATAATACTGCATTAAATCATGTATTGTGTTGTCATTAAATGACAGCATCGAATTTAATAATAATAATAATAATATTCTTTATTGTAATACACCATACAAGAAAACACAAGTAAATTAAAAACCATGATAGATAGAACGTACACAATATAGGCGGCCTTATTGCTAGGCAGCAATCTCTTCCAGGCAACCCATAATAGAAAGATAAATAAATTTAATCATACTTAAAAGTAGACTTGCAAACGAATATTCGGTTACTATTCGGTATTCGGCATATTCGGCTGCTTTTATTACATTCAGCCGAATACCGAATATCTACATATTATTCGGCCGAATACAGAGTACTTAAAAAATATATTTTATCATAGAGAAATAATTGGTAAAATTAAAAATTATAATCAATTGATTACGTATATATTCATATTTTCATTTCTGTTATATAATCATTTAATTCTGTATTTCTGATTTCTGTATTTGACTTATTGTGGTAATCAAAATTTAGAAGGGTAAGGTTCTCATTTCTTTTATAATCATTTATTAAGTAGTCATTGGTACATAAAACAGGTACATTATTTAATAATTTTCTGTATTAAACAAGTTAACAGTTTTTAATTCATTCAGTCATGTCATGAATGGTTACATAATAGCAATTATTTAAAGTTTACGCGCTGTTTTTGGCCATATCTCAAAAGTTGGTTTTTTCATCATTCATCATCACGTCTGTACAAGTTTTTGGCGCTAAAATCCAGCCGAATACTTTTGCCTAATATTGGGCTATTCGGTCAGGGGCCTCGCCGAATATTCAGTATTTGGTATACTGCCGAATATACTATTCGTTGCAAGCCTACTTAAAAGTTAATTCACTTATTTCTTTCTTATGTTTTCAGTTTTCATGCACACCAATCATTAAAGAAAACACTTTTATATGGGTTCTGTATTCCTGACAAGGCAACCTTATAGTTTTGTCATGTCCGTCTGTCTGTCCGCCTCCGGTTTTTTATTTCACTGGTCACCTAAATACCTGTAAACCCTGCCAAACAACAATAATGATGTGAAATCAAACAGAACTCTTAGTAAAAGTTATTGATTTAACTGCTTAATTTAAACATATACAGAACATTTTAATAGAAACCCATCCAGTAGGTCCAGGCTTCAGGCAGGATTCAAACCTGCACCGTCAGCCTCCTGGGTTAAAGCCGGGACCAAGTTGTTTTTTTTTACTAGTAAAATTTTCCATTCAAAAAGTGTTTTGTTAACTAAATTGACCTCAGATTGCAGTCGTAAGAGATATTTAACTGTTTATGTATTAATAAAACCTATGCATTACCTCCATGGCTAAGTGGAGTGTATGGTTTCAAGGTGTCACCTGCTCAGAGTTCCCAGGTTCGAATCCCGGTGGGGGAAAATGTCAGTATGATGAATACGAGCATGTCATAATATTTAGCATAATACTCTGTATATCCATAATACGACACCTTAGTCTATTATCTTTTTATATATATAATTCTTCTGTGAGTGTGTATGTCACTGAACTTCTCTTAAACGACTGGACCGATTTTGATGAAATTTTTTGTGTGTGTTCAAGGGGATCTGAGAATGGTTTAGATTCACAAAGACGTGTAGACAGGACAACGTCTGTCGGGTCCGCTAGTGGATATATAAAGTGTTATTATGGATATATTCTATCTGTTACCCTAGCATTAATGTGTGGTGCGAGGATGCGTTGCTTTATCTTCTGTTTACATTTCTTCATCGCAAATTAACATGAGCATTGCAGTGCTTACTTTGGGACTAGGCTAATAAGTGTGTGTCGGAATATATTTATTAGTGTCCGACCGAAAGTTCGGTTTCGGTTTCAGTTTCGGCCGAGTTTCGGCCAAAAATTAAGTTTCGGCGGCAATTTCGGTTTAGGTCAAAATTGGCCGAAACTTTTGCCGAAACCGAAACTGATTTCGAAAGATGTCGTGCACGCTCGCCTTACCTCGTTTCTCGCACAGCAGTCCATATCCTTTATTGAGTAGTGCAGTTTCCTATATTGAGATAAAAGAGATTGATGATTCTTCTAAGTACAAATACAAACCGAAGTATTAATTAATAAGATTTCAATATACCAATGAGTATTTAATGAAACAGTAACAATTTGTGAATTGATTTATTGATAACTGATAAAAGTTTAGCTATGAGAACTTAATTTGAAAAAATAATAAGATTTTATTATTATATTATCTTATTTTTTTTTTATATTATCTATCTTCTATACTATAATAAATCTGTAGAGAGGTCAATTCTGTACATGAAATATATTTTCAAAATAACTATCAGGGGGTGTTTAGTGATCGATACTGATGCCAAAAATGCAATCAGTAAAATTTTTGTCTGTCTGTCTGTCTGTGTGTATGTTCCTTATAGAAACAAAAACTACTCGACGGATTTTAACGAAACTTGGTACAATTATTCTTCATACTCCTGGGCAGGTTATAGTATACTTTTCATCACGCTACAATCAATAGTAGCAGAGTAGAGAAGGGAAATGTTGGGAAAACGGGAGAAGTTACTCCATTTTTTAAGCTTCCGTCGCGTGTGCAGCCTTAATGGTTAAAGTTACATAGAAATCATGTATGACGGAAATATTCTACATAAAATTGTCTAAAAAATATCCCGCAACAGCATATGTCTATCTTTTATGGTTGACTCACAATAACACGTGTAATTATATAAATAAAGTCATTGTTTATAGCACAAGCCTGAGAACAAAAAGTATAGTTTACACTACAGCTCTACACCGAATCGAAGCGAGGGCGGGCCACTAGTATTTAATAAAATGATTACCTACAGCAAAATTAATATAGTGTGTTTCCATTTCATGCCTTAATTAATGCTGAATAATGGGTGAAATGCACCAAATTTCAGTATTATAAGTGAGTTTCGCCACGGCCGAATATTCGGTTTCGGTTTCGGCCGGAAAACCAGTTTCGGTCGGACTCTAATATTTATCATTATTATTAGGTTTCCTCTTGAATACGAGTTGTGTGCCCTATGGGCACGCTACTGCGTGGGCGCTGACTGGTGGCCCGACAGCAACGATCGAGTCTGCTACAAACACTTCGACAATCCACCGCCCACTCTGAGCGACCTGCCTACAAACAACACTCCCGGATTGAAACCTGTGAGTAGTGACTTATGGTCGGTACACACGTAATAGAATAGAATAGAAATAAATTTATTAGCCTTAAACACAGATTTACATAAATAAAACAAGACAAAATAGGCCAACTAGGTCCCTGCCTCAGCTTGATACTACAGCAACACCAGGGCTGCTGCAGCGCTGATAATTCTGGCAGGGCCTATGGTTGATGACACAGATAAACAAATAAAACAATAATAATACACTAAAAAAAAAATGGAATGGCTGTATAATTTTATAATCTTTGCCTTAAAACAATGCAAAGATTTAGTAATAAAAAATCTGTGGGAGAACAGAGTACAAACTGAACCTCCAAAAAAATATATAAAAACACTAACCTTTAACTATAAACACAATAAACACGTAACGATATATCGTAGCTATTTCAGACTGTGCAGATAAATCGAACGTTCCTAGTGACTCCACACGCCTTCGATATCGACGTCGATTGTCTGTTCGGTCTGTTCTCCGCAGAAGCTCACGCGAGCAACATGTCATCCACGGTGGAAGATTATGACGCACTTGCGATATTAGGCCTAGATAAGTGTTTAAGGCCGTATACAGAAAGAAAGCCGAAAGCCGATCGGCGCTTATCGGCGCCTATTGGCGCTGATCCTTTTTCTATGGACCGGCGCCGACACGCGCTGGTCCGAATAATAAATAATTTGTATTTGAATTATTATCCTTAGATTAAATCAATCTAAGTTATAATCTTTTTATAAATCTAATAACTTTATCTTTTATTAACTAAGCGCTAAAATTATTTGTTTCGTACTTACCGAATGGTGACAACAAGTCTTTCTTCTGGAAGGATTGGTTGTTTATGCCAATTGCCCCAATTTTTCATCAAACGGTTTTTCACTAAATCCTAAATGTAATAAAATGTTTCTTGAATCATTCTTGTATATCTATAAAATCTTTGTTCATCAAATTTAAATTTTTTTACATATAAATGATGGTATTCTCCGAAACGTTTCCTTTCTCTATTTATAGGATGTATAGCTGTTTTTCGCATTTTTAAATAAACATTTTCTAACAAAACCAAATCATCGTCCGATGAGTCCGACATTTTGCTTGATCTGCTTTAATCGGCTTCCTTTATGTAGGAATTGGCGCCGATAAGCGCCGAACGGCTTTCGGCTTTCTTTCTGTATACGGCCTAAAGAAAAAAAAGGAGCGGAGTGTGTGGTGCAGACTGGCTTCACTCTATAGCTCTCTATGAAATCTTGCATTAGTTCATGGTGTCCACTAGTGATGTAACGAATGTCATCTTTTGAACATTCGCGAACGCGAATGCGGATGCGAATGTCTGGTACCGACATTCGCGAATGCGAATGCGAATATTTAGTTTTTTTTTAAATTGGCGCCAATTGTGTATGGCATGGTGGCAGTCTCGTTCGAATTGCCGTGTTGATATGAACTCATCCGACTGAAGTGTCATTCCGCTCGCACCGGTCTTTCCGTAAACAAAACAAGTGAATTTTGAGGTTAGTGATTGTGAGTAAGGTAATAGTGATTTATTAACATGAGTAAATCGAATTCTAGTGAAACATGGACTTATTTCACACTTTGCGATGCTGAACGAGCTAAATGCAAACTGTGTAACAATGAATATTCAAGGAAAGGCAGAACTACAACTTCTTCAAATGGTTTTTTTCTAATATTCATATTGGCAAAACATTCGCAGAGATTTTGCGAATGCGAATATTCGTTACATCACTAGTGTCCACCTCTTTCTTCTTCAGACATGTTGCGATATAAGAGCGATCCGCACGTGCGCACACTTGCGAGCCTACAGCCGAACTGAGCGATCGCCATCCACACGCGACGATAAAACTGTGCAAACGCAATCGACAACGATTTATCTAATAAAAATTGCAACTGCCACCGACGAACGATAATCGACAACGATTTGTCATACACACGCTCGATAAATCTGCGCAAGTCGATTTGCACAGTTTAATCGTTACGATAAATCGTTACATGTGTAGCAGGCATTAGGCTGCGTTTCCACCAGAGATGTGCGATGGAAATGTGTCGTGCGAGGATGTCTAGCTGTGCTGTGAAAATGTGTGGGGATTTCCACCAAAGCTGTGCGATGAAAATGTGCCTACGAGGATGTGTAGCGGAGCTGTGAAAATGCGCATTAATGTGTGGTGCGAGGATGCGTTGCTTTATCGTCTGCTTCCATTTCTTCATCGCAAATTGTTAAATATAAAAGTGTCTTCTTTTTACAAGCTTTTATTTCACTTGCTATGTATGTTTGTTCGGGTCAAATCTTACAACTCAATTTTAAAGCACTTGCCCTCAACCGATTAAGCTGAAATTTGGTATGCTCGTTCAGTTCGGATGACAATGCATGCTTAACAGTGTGACGTCATTCTAAATCCAATATGGCGGCATACCCAAAATGGCGGACCAATCATTTTTAATGCATTCCTACAATATGGGTATCAAATTAAAGGGCTTGCTGAGAGTAACTCGAAAAAAAAGTGACGTCACTCTCAATCCAATATGGCGGACTTCTAAAATTTGAAAATCTATTTAGAAACAAACTCTAACTAAATTTTCTTTTTTTCTTTTTAGCGCATTTGAATAAAAGCTTGTTTTTAAAAAGGTTTTTGTACCTTAATTTTATTCCAATTATCCATATCTATTTTGTGCGCTTCTACTTCCAACAAACTCCGTGTATGGACTGGCTGGTACAGTATGCGCAAACCTCGCAACATATGCTTCTCAACACACACCCCTCGTACACATCCCTCGCTTGTTTTGTATGCGCAAAAATCTAGCTCCGCTGAGCCGTTTCCACCAGAGCTGTGCTGACCGAGGCGAGGTAAATGAAGCGATTCTATTGGTTCTTTACAATCACATCCCTCGCTATGCATCCTCGCACATCACTGGTGGAAACGCAGCCTTAAACACAGAAAGATTTTAGAAGGGCCTTGTGGGCGAGACAGGCGCGCCACAGTTATGTGTGAGCAAATGTTCATAACTTTACCAAAACTTGGTTCTGATTGCGTCGTTGCTCGCGGGTGTAAGCGCTGATTGGTTCAATTGTTTGATTTCGCGTCGTTTGATTGGCTATTATCTATTACATGGAAGTGTAGTGGGGGCGAGCGGGCGACATCGGTTCCCGTACAAACGGTCTATGATCACCCTTCTAACATCTTTTGATTTCTGAGTTCTGTGGACTTAAACATTAGGTTAATCTCTTTAATATATTCTACCTATAAAATATTCATAGGAATAAATTTCTGTGCCCAAACCCGGTTCATGTATGAGCATTATCCTATGTAACACCTATCACTACATGAAGGAGCAATAAATTATAATAATAGTCAGAAAAAAATATTAAATGTCACAGGAATATATAAATTACAATAGAATAGAAAACTATTTATTTTGTAAGTAGGTATGTATATAAAAATATACAAAAACCAACTACACAAGGAAAAATAAAAAAAAGCGAGTGTGCTTAAGACTACACGACTGAAGTGAAACTTCTTTAGCTGCATCTGTATGTATAGATATATATACATACTAGCTGACCCAGCGAACTTCGTACCGCCAAAAAAAAATAGGGGTTATCCAGCGGACAAAATTGTGAATCTAAACCATTCTCAGATCCCCTTGAACACACACAAAAAATTTCATCAAAATCGGTCCAGTCGTTTAAGAGAAGTTCAGTGACATACACACTCACAGAAGAATTATATATATAAAGATGTGTGTGTACAATATATACATGTATGTACATATACATATTTCATTTACTAGCTATAAGAGAAAAAGCAAAATGTGCGCGCGCACTGCTTTCTCTTGCTTATATCCCCCACTCGACCCCAGTTCGCCCCGCCCGAACACACTTTTCGTAACACGTAACGCATTCGCCAGCTTACCCCCCAAGTCAGGCGTGAGTAAAGAAGTTTCACTTTTAAAACAAAATGATTTTTTTTCTACCATTTTGTCGGCATCATCATCATCATCATCAGCCTATTAATGTCCCCACTGCTGGAGCACAGGCCTTCCCTATGGATGGAATAGGGAGATTGGGCCATGACCCACCACGCGGGCCCAGTGCGGGTTGGTGGGTCTAACGACTGCAGATGCAGCCGGGACCAACGGCTTAACGTGCCTTCCGAAGCACCGAGGAGCTCGAGATAGTAAATTTTCGGTCACCCATCCAATGACCGACCACTGCGAAAGTTGCTTAACTTCAACGATCGCAGCCGAACGCGCTAGCCACCTGCGCCATCGAGCTCCTCCATGATTGATATACATATCTTTAAAAATTTACAGTTCTCTCGTGCTAACAGTCTCCAAGCAATACCGGGGACTAAAGTTGAAAATTACCGAAAGATTCGGTAAGAAACGAAAGTTTCTAGGTAACTTACCGGTAAGTTTCGTGAAACTTACCAAAGGACATTGCTCGTTCTCAATACATTGAATGCCCTATAACCCAGCAATGAGAAAATGCTAGTTGTGTTCGGAATCATTCATAAACTCTAATTAGGCATTTGTTGAGATACGGACAACTTGAGGAACCATGGCCTACTACAGAATGTATTAGATTTTGAGGTTATAATTATTATACTTAATCGTTAAAGATGTACACTTTATATATTCTGAATAGATTTAGTGTTTACCTCTATGTAAGCACTTAAATAATATGCATTAAATGAACATAAAATGCAATTAATAATCAAAATAATAAATGCTTATGTTCATATTGATTTATGAGTGTTGGTAGTTGGCACCTATGATACCTGTTGTAATAATAGATTTCTTTTCAAATGAAATGTTCAAAGTTAACTCTTTCTATATTTTACTATCGGTAATGAGGTATGTAGCTGGTTATCATTATGATGTGGGATGGGAGTATAGACTATCTTCACATAATTTCAGAAATAATCTTTTTATCTTTTTATAAATACTAGTGACAAGTACGATTAACTAAGGTACCTAGTTCTATTCTTATGTTGATAAATATTTATGGTCGCCTATATTGCATTTATTAAGGTAAACAATCTTGGCACAACTTTTTAACAAAATCACCCATTTAAAAATAAAATAATAACGAAGCCAATAAACTATTAAAATAAATCGTTACTATAGACTGAAACCTATTGAATACAGTTATCAGTTGATTTTTAATGCTGTATTTTCAATAAAAAGGAGTGCCGAGATTGATTACCAAATGGGACAAGTTGGGATGAACAGACTGTAGTATCTATAGTCCATTCACTTTGGCGTGAGACAAAATGTAAACAAACCATAAAATGGATACTTTTTAAGGTCACGTTTGACAAAAGCAAAGATTAAATATTATTTACATATGAAATGCAGCGAAAATTTAAGTTAATTATTTTAAAACCTGTTACATACATATGAATAATAAAATAAAATATTTTACATTACATTCAACGTACATTCACATCATAAATTCGTATATTTTTAATTTGCTGGTAAAAGTATTTTAACAACATAAGTTGACATGGAAAAAGACCTAAAAACACAATCATTCCCAAACCTAAGACGTATTATAATACGATAAAATTTAAGAGTAGACATGATACAAGTATTTTACGTTGCAGTGTTGTGTTTTGTAATCGGTTGGTTTATGTCAGCCATCTTTACTCTCCCGATCAACCTGTTGACGCGAGTGTGCTTAATCAATCTTATTTGTTAAATTCTTGTTATTTCCTTATTTTATTTGTTGAGTTTGTTGTTATTTTATTTACTGTTAAGTTTAAAGTTGTTTGTGATTGTTTTCTTGTTAAATTGACGTTTTCGCAGCTATAGTTATGAGTGGTGAACCGGGACCAAGCAGCTCTTGTACATTTTCTTCGCCGAAGAAAAAGCGTACAAAGAGTGGACCATTGCGCTCCAACGAAAAGGAGCTCGTGATAAATGTTTTTAAACATGTTGAAGAAACCTGGCCAAAAGATTCCTATCCATATAAAAGTGATATAATCAATAAATCCGCCGAAATACTGGAAATATCACGAGCTACTGTTTACCGGTTGGTGAAGGAAAAGAAAAGTACTGGCCGTATCTCATCACCTCCGCCTCCGCCATTTAAAGTATCTTTGTTGGATACATTGGACGATATGGATAAAGCTGCGATACGCCGCAAAGTCCACACATTTTTTTTAATAAGGAGATGCCCACCGTGGACAAAGTATTGCATGCTGAGAATACAGATGAAACTTTGCCCAACTTTAAGAGGACCTCTTTTTTCAAGTTGATGAAATCTTTACAATTTAAATATCCGAAAGAGTGGGCTTATTGAAAGAGATGACATTGTTTTATGGCGCGTCAAATATTTAAATAATATTCTAAGTCTCAGGAGCGAAGGTAGCTATTTATTACACTGAAGAAACTTGGATAAATGAAGGTTAGTAAAATACAATATTAAACTACTTTATCCTGTGAGAAATTTACTTCTGAATGAAATTATATTTCATTTTGTATTCATAAACTGATAAACTAAATTCATATTTTTTATTGTTTATCATCACAGCACTAAAATATATTAATTTCTATGCACATAATTTTATTATAATCTTCTTATAAATATTGAATGATACTTATTATTTTCATACCATGTCTTTATCCTGTGAAAATGTTACTCAAATATGTTGTGTCATGTTACCAATTGTATTAAATTATTATTGTTTTTATTTTTCATAAGTTGTTAATGAACTTATATTTGTTACAGGACACACTATGAACAAAATTTGGCAAGATCATACAATTAAAACTGTGAAAGAAGCTCATCGAGAGGGATTGTCAATAGGATTGAAAAACCCAAGTGGAAAAGGGAAGCATCTGATTGTATTGTACATATGGGCACAAGTCAAGGGATATGTTGGTAAAAATAGTAAAACATTTAAGATGACTGAAATTAAAAATTAGCCGATGCCTTACAATCAATCACAGCTGAATCGTGGAAACGTTGCATTGACCATGTCATTAAAGAAGAGCAGAAAATGCTGAAATTGAATGGTATTGTTGATGATGTTGTGGATAAATTTATTATTAAAGTTGGTGGCAGTGCATCCAGTGAGTTGTCAGACAGTGAATAAATATTATTTGCAAAGTATTATGCTGGTTTCATTTGAAATACACATTCTTTTATTATATTTATCATCAAGACAGAATTCATTATAATTTTAATATAGGTTACATAAATTATACCTAATCACATCGACTAGTAGGTACTTTCTGACATTATAAAAGTTTTAGAACCTCAGATTCTTTGTTTACATTTTGTCTCAAGCCAAAGTGAATAGACTATAGTAACAGAACTTTTATTTTTTTAAACATATTGTCCGTTTACTATGATTAATTGCTAATAAATTAAAAAAATAACTAGCAAACCAGTGAACCAAATGTTCACCAAAACCTGATTAGAAAAAAAAATGTATTTAATTAATTGAGAACCTCGGAGATTTTGTGTGGTTTCGTTTGAAATTCGTGATTTCTCGAAAACCGGAAGTGCTACGTTACTCAAATCCGGTTTGTAGTCTTATCAGACTATTCTTAACTTATAACTTAAATATTCTCTTTATCTATCTCTTACGGTTTGGCCGCTGAAACAGCACCACAGACAGACGGACGGACGGACGGACTTGTCTAATAGATAAGAGATAGTGAAGGACATTCTTTTGGGCATGCTAGGGCCGATTTCGTTGATATCCTTAGGTAATTTAAGTAACTTTCAAAAATGATGATTTTACTTACAAATGCGCAACAGCAGTTTATTTTAAACGCTTTTGTCTTCTTTATAATAAACTTCTACCGAATTTTAGCGACCATACTCTCTCAGCTAAAAAATGGTGGTGAAACCATTGTTTGGCTTTGTTTGTAATTGTAGATTTGTGCAATGAGGGCTATCGCGTATGAATCCGCCGCTAGAGGCGCTAGTGTAGCGTGAGGTCTCCGAAATGTCAAATGTTATTGCTTGTTGGTTGACTACGCGGGTTTATTTCTAATTAAAATAATGTTGTGAATAATTGGTAACAATTCGGCTTAATTATGGCAAATATGAGTTATGTGACAATGAATGTCAGTTATTAAAAATTTGAGCTTAGAAAAATGATTATGTTCCCATTTTTTCCGAATAAAACTGAACTGGGCGTCACTGTGGCATGGCCTATTATGTTTAGGATATGGTTCTTTTGTGTTAAAATACGATCTAAATGTAACCTTTGATTTCATGTTCGTATTAATAAACTTTAAAAGTTACAATTTAGGACCTCACTCAACAGTGGCGCCACCTGGTGAGACAGAAAACGGTAGCCCTCATTTGTATGCATTTGTTTTCATATGAAGTTTGTTTATTAGTTACATAGAAATAAGTATGTTTCTGAGTGGTCTTATAATTTTTTAAGTGCAGGGTATACGATTTTGATTGTTAGTTTAAGAAAAAAATTTTAAAATAGGGCTTGTTTACCGGTTAATTTTCAAACCTAAATCAGTGTCAAGTACATTAGGAGCGTTTTATTTAGGTTTGGCTCTACCTTAACCTTAAAAAAAAACGGTTTTCCTAAAAAGTGAAATCAAATAGGTTTTGTGAATCAATTTAGCGGTTTTTAAAGGGTTTGATTTCGCTCTTACTGACGGCTGAAATAAATAAATAACTATAAAATGAATAACTTGACACTAGCCGCTAGCAAACGTGTCAATAAATGCATCAATCTCTGAGCATTAACAAGTTGTGACTTGATTAGTTCAAACAAAACAAACTTCAAGCGATGCCGACGCGTGCACGTGTCGCTCTGGATTAAACCGGTTTATTAAGGTTTTAGATACCGTTTTCATTTCGGACGCGCTCCAAACGAAACCTTTACTAAAAACCGGTATTAACCTTTATTTACCGGTATTTTAGAAACCGGTTTCAAGCCCTGTTTTTTGAAACTTCTAAAATTGGAAACTTTCGCGAAACTTACCATCGAAAAGGAAACTTTCGAGGTATTTTCAACCCTAAGGGGGACGGACAGACAGACTGACATGACGAAGCTATAAGGACTAGGGAACATGAAAAAGCAAGTCCATCGTGGATTTAGTTCATTAATTAGTTACTTAAAGTTGACATTGTGCGTTACCTACAATGCGAAGAGATGGCGCTGCCGTGCAGCTTAAGAAAGGCTAGAAAGAATTCGACACGGCCATCAGGGCCGCGGCATCAGCATAATGGTCAGTGCATTCGCTTGGATAGCGAAGGGTGCGGGTTCGAGTTCCGTCTGCTGCCTGGCCCGCGTGGATTTTTTTCTAGTAATTTACTTCCTTTAGATATAAACTTAAAGCAGTTAAATACTTAAAAAATAAAAAAAAATAACTATGTACTTAAAGTTAGTTTTTTGTAATTCCAATAGAAGTCTTTTATATTTAATTTTAAATGATATGACGACCTCCGTGGCCGAGTGGTTTATACGCCGGGTTTCATGGTGTCGCCGTCTCGAGAGAATCCCGGGTTCGAATCCCGGTGGGGGCAGATGTTTGTGTGATGAATACGACCATTTGTACTCCAGTCATAGATGTTTAATATGTGTTTCTATATAAATAATGTAAAATATATTGTATTCTATCCGTTACCTTAGTATCCCATAACACAAGCCTTACAGTGCTTACTTTGGGGCTAGGCTAATTGGTGTTGGAAATATTTATTTATTTATTATTTTATTATTTATATACTTATCTATGTATGAATTTATCTCATTTTTTTGTACAGATATGGCCGCTTATGGGTTCTAATACATCCAAGGAGGATGAGAGCGAGATGGCTCGCCTCGCAACCTACATGATGCACAACAAATATGATTTTGAAACATTTAAGGTAAGAATTTTAATACTTCATAATTTCTTTATGGATATTTATATCATCGTCGGGCATCGTATATATAGAGTAGCGATGTTACGGTCTTTAATTTTCACAAACCGGATTTGATCAGTTAGCAATACATGCAAATCGGTTTTCGAACCGAACCGCCAAATTTTCAGTAAACCGCGATTTGAACCGGTTTGAACCGTTTGACGAGTTGACGAATGAAACTTATGAAACAACAGGTGTTATTTTTTTTTATTCTACATAATTTGTTGATATTACAACGTGCAAATATTTAAAGGTAATTGAAAAATCAGAATTAACAATGTCAAAATAAAAAAATATCAATTAAAACAGATATCTATGTAATACCGTGTTTAAAAAAATACTAAAAAATATATATAAGCTATTTAGGAATAATATTTGGTCTACTTTTTTAGAAGCTAGGCGATTACGTCGCATATTACATAATAATGAAAACAAAACTAAAAAACCGTCAAATCAGTCAAATCTACCAGAGTCCGTTTCACTTCGGTTCGGTCGGTAAGTCGGTTATGGCTGTTGCGCTAAACGTATCCGCTGCTTGTAAGTCGGTGTGTATTGGTCGCTCAATTTTGTTCGGTCGGTAAAGAACGTCAGGAGCCGCGCGCGATTTGTGGATGGCGGCATAAACAAGAATTGACATGCGCGCAGCGCATTGCAAACGAATGCCACCATAAACCGGTTTACGAAGACGTTAACCGATGCAACTTGGTCTATGCTCAAACCGGTTTGAACCGGTTTGAAAAGTCGAGTCGTTACATCTCTAATATAGAGTGTTAGCCTCCGAATTTTACTTGCGCGATTTAGGCATGCATACGTATTGATTGCAGCGCCGGTAGCGCCATCTCTTGAGGAGGCGAGTGACAATTTCCAGACATATTGATTATATGTGGGGCATGTAGATGTCGCCGCCACAATAGTATTTTCGAAGCTGTTACCTCTAAAAATGTAGTAGCGCGCAAAACACTGGAAAAATATATAGTATGTGGTTAAAATATTTACTTTATTTCTGAAATGAATATATTTAGCTGCTCTATGCCTTAATATTATAATTTTTATTTTTAAGAAAGCTTTTACTGGCAAAAATCTGCTTTAAGCAAAATAAACTACTATATTATTTTTTAGTATTTGATCCCCGATACTATATTATACAGGGCGTCCCACGGCTACCTCACACGGAGGGAAAGTATATTAAATATTAAAGATAGGATATTTTACTGGAAGAAGACATCATTTCATTTTTGATAATAACTAGAACTGCATTCACAGATTTTTTAAAAATCGACTGCTACAACTCGTGAAATTTCGAAAAAAAATACGACATATTTTATGATAACCATCGAAAGGGTTTATCATAAAGATTATTTTTTACTAATTAACATAGCATTTTAAACGAAAGGAATGTCTTATTACGTGATAAAAAGAATAAAGTGATATACAAACTGTAGTACGTATGCATTTCTTTTTGAACTCAGTTACAATGCGATTGGCTGAAATTTGTAAAAATAATAATTCGAAAATAGAACACATACATTTTCAAGCGTCTGTACCCCTAGCACGAACCATTATCGAATTCGAATAGTTTGCGAGTGTGAAATGTCTATGTCAAATTTTGTATGGAAACTTATACAACAGCACCACAAAGTACGTAACGAGAACTAAAAATCAGTAAGTACATATTTGTCAATGACATTTCGCACTCGAAAACTATTCGAATTCGATATTGGTTCGTGCTAAGGGTACTGTTCTATTTTTGTGTTTTTCATTTTAGTTAAAAACCGGGTTCTCTTAATACATTTTTACATAGGGAATCTAAATACGGAAAGATATCTAGAAATAATTAATATTTTAAGAGGTGAGATCAATAATCTTCCTGATGCAAATCGACGAAATCTCATTTTCCAGCAAAATGGGTCTCATAACAGTAGGAGAACAGCTAAGTTTCTTAAAGAACACTTTCCTTCCTGGATCGGTTCTTATGGACAAATGAGATGGCCAGCGAGATCCCCAGATCTAACCCCACTGGACTTTTTTGTGTGGTTATGTAATAGATGTAGTATACAAGAACCGGTAAGACAGTGTACAGGAATTACAAAATAACTCAGACGTATTATTAGAAACATTCACCAAGCAAAGATAATGAAATCGACAGGCAGAGAAAACATTAATAGAGTGATAATTTGCATACAACAAATCGGGTCACATTTTGAACATGTGATACATTTCGTTGTTTATTACTTTTTGTTGAATATTTTTAATAAAATGTGTAATTTTATGAGTTTTCTTTCATTTAAAATGCTTTGTTATTTAGCAAAAAATATTTTTTATGATTACCTCTTTCGATAGTTATCATAAAACATCTAGTGTTTTTTTTTTCGAAATTTCACGAGTTTGATTCCCCGTTTTAGCTGGCGATTTTAAAAAAATCTGTGAATGCAGTTCTAGTTATAATTAAAAATAAAATTATGTCTTCTTTCGGTAAAATATCCTATCTTCAATATTTATTATACTTTCCCTCCGTGTGAGGTACCCGTGGGACGACCTGTATAGTAGGGTTGGCAACTGCGGGGTCCCCGTGATACCCCGGGAGACCCCTGCCTATAATAATATATAAAGGCAATATTAACGAATGACACATTATGTCGCAAGAATTACCCAAGTTAAGTGATAAGTGCAGTTTCGGGCACTGGAAATTCCGAATAAAATTACTTTTAGAAGAAAAAGGTTTGTCACATGTATTGGATTATACTCAAGATGAGGTGAAATTTGAAGACAGGACGAGTGATGCCAAGGCGAGGTCAATCATTGTGCAATGCCTAAATGACAAACATATAGAAATTGTGAAGGAATGCAATAGTGCGGTAAAAATGCTTGTAAAATTGGAAGCCATCTTTGAAAGGAAAAGCATATTCAACAAGCTCAGATTGAAAAGGCAATTAATTATGTTAAAATGCACTTCTACAGAAAACCTACAAGATTATTTCATGAAATTTGACTCATTAGTGGGTGAGTTAGCTGCCATCGGTTGCAAGGTGGATGAAATCGACCAAGTTTGTTATTTGCTATCGTCAATGCCATCAAACTATGATAATGTCATAACCTCCATTGAAACAATGACCACAGAAAAATCAATAAATATAGAATTTGTTAAAGCAAGATTGTTAGATGCTGAAATAAAGTGTACTCAGGAAAATTCAAATGAAGAGGCATTTATAATTTGTTATGGATGTGGAAGAAAAGGACACAGGATTAAGGACTGTAAAGATAAAAAGAAGGACATGAATACTTATAATAATAGAAATAGAGGAAATACTTCTACAAGAGGTTACCGAGGAGGTTCCAGAGGAAGATACAGTTCAAGGAGAGGTCGAGATGAAAAATGTGATATAGCATTCTTTGCAGCATTTAATGTTAGTTATAACCATGAAGTAAGTAGTGACTGTGTTCAGTTCATAGTAGACTCGGGTGCAACAGAGAATTTAATAATGTCACAATATGAACAAAACATGACCGATATTGTTACTTTAGATAAAGAGGTAAGAATATTTATTGCAAATGGTCAATATTTAACTGCACAAAAGCGAGGTAAATTAAAATTAAATTATAATAATATTTCAGTAAATATTGAAGGATTGATTGTCCCTAAGTTGTCACACAATTTATTATCTGTTACAAAATTATTACAAAAGGGTTTTTATGTAAAATTTTCTAAAAATAATGTATGTATAACTAAACAAAAACAGGTAATCTTTGGTAAATTATCAGGCAGACTATATGTAATTAATATGCAATTTAAAAATGAAAACTGTTTATTAATGAAAGATTTATGGCACAGAAGGTTAGGTCATGCAAACAGGAAACAGCTAAGGATTATGAAACTACCATGCAGTGAGGCACCGTGTGAACCATGTATGCAGGGAAAATCAACTAGATTGCCTTTCTACTCTACCCCAAAGCCACGTTCCCGTTATATAGGTGAGTTAATTCATACAGACATTTCAGGGCCAGTGTCTACTCCAACAATTAATGGTGAAATTTATTGTCTCTCTATAATTGATGATCACACACATTTTTGCGAAGTTCATTTACTAAAAAGAAAAAGTGAAGCTACAGATAAATTGATAGAATATATAAATAAAATAAAGACACAAACAGGTAACAGAGTAAGAAAAATTAGAAGTTATAACCGACGACCTCGGTGGCCGAGTGGTTTGTACGCCGGGTTTCATGGTGTCGCCGACTCGAGAGGTCCCGGGTTCAAATCCCGGTGGGGGCAGATGTTTGTGTGATGAATACGAGCATTTGCACTCTAGTCATGGATGTTTAATATGTATTTTCTATATAAATATACTTATATATGTACAGTATATGTATTCTATCCGTTACCCTAGCATCCCATAACACAAGCCTTACAGTGCTTACTTTGGGGCTAGGCTAATTGGTGTGAGTGTTGGAAATATTTATTATTATTATTTATTATTTATTATAATGGTGGAGAATTTAAAAATGGGAAATTTCAAAATTTTTGTCAACAAAAGGGGATTATTCTGCAGTACACAATACCCTATAGTCCACAGTCAAATGGTGTCGCAGAAAGAATGAATAGAACTATATACAACAGGGCTAGGACTTTATTACTTGAGACAGGTTTGCCAAAATCATTATGCGGTGAAGCAGTAAGATGTTCAGTGTATCAAATAAATAGGTGTCCGTCATCAGCAATAAATTTTAGAACACCTGCGGAGAAAATGTTTGGAAGTTTAGATTTATCAAAATTGAGAGTATTTGGATCTAAAGTTTGGGTGCACATTTTACCTAAACAGGACAAACTTCAACAAAGAGGAAAAACAATGAGATTTGTAGGATATTCAATAAATGGATATCGTGTATGGGATCCAGAAACTGATGAGATCACAGTGTCAAGAGATGTTAGATTTGACGAGTCACAAATAAAATATGAAGAAAAGAAAGAAGATGAAGATCAAAGAGAATATGGACGCTATGAAGATGAAAAAGAAGATACAAAGAAGAACATAGAAGATGAATTTAGAAGTCAGAAATTAAATCAAAATGATAAACATAGTAGTAGACATCAAGATGAAGATAAATCCGATAAAGAAGATACAGAAGGAGCAAGAAGATGACAGATATTCAGTAGAAAATGATCAGGAAAGTGAAGAAGAAGGGAATGAAGAAGGAACAGAAGAATATCAAACAAGGTTTGGAAGAAAAACGAAAAGACCAAATATTTATGAAGATTATGACATGTATACAGCTTATTGTTTTCTATCAGGTGATCCTCTAAATTATGAAGAAGCTATAAAAGACAATGAATGGGAAAAGGCAATACAAAAGGAAATAGATTCACAGAAAAAGTTAGAAACATGGGGAAGAATCTACTTTACCAAAAGGAATTAAAGCGATAGATACTAAATGGATATTCAGAACTAAGCAAGATGGAACGAAGAAAGCGAGACTGGTAGCCAAAGGCTTTCAACAAATTAGTTCTCATAATAATTATGCGCCAGTAGCAAAACTATCAACAATTAGACTTATGTTGAGTATTGCTGTCCAAGAAGATATGTCATTGAAACAATTGGATGTACCAACTGCGTTCCTCAATGGAATTCTAGATGAAGATGTTTATATAAAATGTCCAAAAGGATTGAAAATAGGAGAAAGAAAAGTATTGAAACTAAAGAAAGCTTTATATGGATTAAAAGAAGCACCTAAATGTTGGAATGGAAGATTTCATCAATTTATTACAGGAAAAGGATATGTACAATCTAAATATGACTACTGCTTATATAGAAAAGGAAAAACATGGATATTGCTTTACGTTGATGATATTTTGTTACTTGGTAATGGAGATAATATAGTAAGGGAATTAGAAAAAGAATTTAAGGTTAAAAATTTAGGAGAAGTGAAAAACTATCTAGGGTTAGAAATTACAAGAATAAAAAATAGGTTAGAAATAAAACAGACAGAAATGATATATAAACTACTTGAGAAATTTAACATGCAAGAGTGCAAGACAAGTAAAACCCCAATGGAAGTAAATTATAATATAAATATTACCTCTGATGCAGATGTGATTAATGTTCCATTTAAAGAACTCATAGGTTCATTGCTATACATATCTACAAATAGTCGCCCAGACATTACTTATGCAGTGTCATACTTAAGTAGGTACTTGGACAGACCTACACAGGATGCTTGGAAAGCAGGCAAAAGAATATTACGCTATTTGAAAGGAACATTGGAAAAGGGGCTGCTCTATACAAAAACAGAAGATTCATCAAAACTTCAAGCATACTCGGATGCTGATTGGGCTGCAGACAAAACAGACCGCAAGAGTACCAGCGGATGTGTTATCTATCATGGTGACAATCCAGTTTCTTGGTTCTCAAGAAAACAAACATGTACAGCTTTATCAACTGCTGAAGCTGAGTATGTTGCCGGTGCGCATTCAGTAAGTGAACTAATGCATATTAAAGGGGTTCTTTCTGATTTTATTAATAACTAGTGGCCCGCCCTCGCTTCGCTTCGGTGTAGAGCTGTAGTGTAAACTATACTTTTTGTTCTCAGGCTTGTGCTATAAAGAATGACTTTATTTATATAATTACACGTGTTATTGTGAGTCAACCATAAAAGATAGACATATATATGCTGTTGCGGGATATTTTTTAGACAATTTTATCCTTACACGCCTGAATAGCTCGCAGATTGCAGAATTTTTTCAGACTTAAATGACATTTATCGTTATATTTTGGACAATTCACACAATATCTTTATAAATTATAGCCTATGTGTTATTCTGATCTATAAGCTACATTACTGTAAAGTTTCATTAAAATCCGTTTAGTAGTTTTTGCGTGAAAGAGGAACAAACATCCATCCATACATCCATCCAAACAAACTTTCGCCTTTATAATATTAAGTAAGGATAAGGGTGTAATAAATGCTAATTTACTAATAGATAATCAAAGTGCCATTAAACTCATACAAAATCAGGTAAACAGTAAAGCTTCAAAACAAATAGCGATTAAATACCATTATATTAAAGATATAATTCATAAGAAACTTGTATCAATTTCATACATTTCTACTAATGACAATGTTGCTGATATTTTTACCAAAGCATTGCCTGTGAATAAGCATAAGTATTTATCTGATAAACTTAAGTTAAACTAATTAATGTAAAACTTTTAAAGAAACTTTGTTGTTTGAACATAGTGTTAAGTGTGTACTAGTGGTAATAAGACCGATCCCAAGGCTGAAGTCGTAGGGCTAGACAACTTAATATGTAGTTGAGGTAAAATTACATTTAAAATATTGTTTTATGTATAATGTTAACTTAAAAGTTACATGTAAGTTAATGCTACTGTGTTGCTGTATAATTCCTCTAAGAGTTATTTAAAAATATAAAATTGTTTGTAAACATAACATATCTTGCAAGTTGTAGAACTTAATCTCCTTACACTCTAAACTTGAGGGGCTGTGTTAAGAATATTACTAGTCTGTGACTTACAGCACTATTTAACTTATGTATGTTATCTATGGTGTACTCTCTCTGCTAAATAAAATGGCTGACTGCAAAGTATGGTTTCCTTTTAATCTCCAAACTTAATAGAATCCCTAAACGGGGACCCCGCAGCTTCGCGCTAAGCAGCTTAGAGGGTATTCGCAGGACTTTTTGAGCGGATATTATGCCGTAAAGCGCCCGTAAGAGTTGCGGGGTCCTCGGTGGGCAGCCTCATGCCCCCCCCCCCCCCCATAATTACTTAAACATTGCTACCTGTTTTTTTATTGATTCATGAGCAGCGTTCCTTAAATTGGCTTAGGATAGAGGACTTTAACGCACATATTAATTAATTTGAACGAACTTTATTGAAACAGAATTCAACATAGAGTAAGCAACGATATTAAATACCCTAGATACACCACGAGCGCTCAAAATGTGTCCCAATCAAGAAGTGCTCTTGGTTCACAGACACGCGCGGACCGTGGAAAAGTCATCATGCCGCAGAGCTCTGTGAAAAAATGCGAAATAAATACTTATAGTACGTAACCCGTCGTTTTTTTCAACAGGTATCTAATCAGTGTTTGTTAATTTAACACATTTGAAGCAAATCTCTTATCTATTAGACAAGTCGGTCCGTCCGTCTGTCTGTGGTGCTGTTTCAGCGGCCAAACCGTAAGAGATAGATAAAGAGAATATTTAAGTTATAAGTTAAGAATAGTCTGATAAGACTACAAACCGGATTTGAGTAACGTAGCACTTCCGGTTTTCGAGAAATCACGAATTTCAAACGAAACCACACAAAATCTCCGAAGTTCTCAATTAATTAAATACATTCTTTTTTTAAATCAGGTTTTGGTGAACATTTGGTTCACTGGTTTGCTAGTTTTGTTCTAATATTTAATGTAAACTGATTTAATATAAAATATTTGTGATATTCAAATGCATGTTCGGTTATACGTCGCCGTATAGCCGTCTCTTTTCCTCGCAGTCCGTACCCGCTATATTGCTAACAGCGCATTTAGAATTGCGCGTCGAAGTAAAAGAAGGTCTATATTCTTCCGCATATCGCAAAAGTCGTAAAATTTTGCGAGCTTCCATTTCAAACTGTCATAAGTCTATGACGCACTGCGTGCGTTTTAATTAAGACCTTATACCACAGATTGGTTCTATGTTCTATGTTAGGGGTTAAGGGCTCCGCACTTAGTGCGTGAGCCATGGCGGCCTGTTAATCCAGCCAGCCCGACTCCCTCCAGAAGCAGATCAGTCTTCCCAGTCTTCTAATGGCATCTGCAAGGGATCCCGGCTTACCAAGTCTCCCCGCAGATCAGGGCGACACCAGTACACTCGAGGAGTACTTGTGCCATCGTCTCTTATGCCTCCATGCATGCTCTGCATAGGGGACTGTCTGTTATCCCTATACCCTATAGGGATGAAAGTGTTTTTACGGAATCGTTAATCTTGTATTGCAGTACCCGCGCAGTGACTCTGGAGTGAAGCAGTTTGACCCGGAACTGGTCCGCGCCGCGCCCAAGTGGTTCAAAAATAAGGTAACAAACAAACGCACACACACACACACACACACGCACGCACGCACACACACACACACACGCACGCACACACACACACACACGCACGCAAACAGAGAGAATCAATATGTCTGCCAATAATATCCTTATATAAAAATAAGTTAGCTGTACCAATTACAAGGCTACACAAGTCCGTAACAATATCCAAAAAATAAACGTCAATAATTTTCGAGCTACTATTAAAGGGCCTTAAAAGGAAAACTATTTCATACTGTCTTATAGCCTATTTATTATCAAAAGTGACCTCTTTCTGTCCGTTTGTCCGTAACAGTGGCGTGAGCGTCTATCGCAGCACGTCATGTATGAACATGGCATCGATCGCGCTACCAAAGATGCTCCCTCATACATGAGGTATATGGAGAGAGTGCTCAAATGCGTCGATGAAATCGTTAAGGTAAGTTTGTACACACATCGGAAGTGAAACATCTTTTCTTAAATAACCTAACATTAGGCGGTGCATAAGGCATAACATATATATGTGTGTATATATATATATATATATTCATTTCATATACAGGCTGTTACAAAAATACAAATAAATTTGAAGGGCGTCGAAGTACATCATGTTAATAATAATAATATAATATTTTTTTTATTTCAGGCAAAAGACCCATATGACAAAATTAAGAAGTCTTCTCTAATTTTCTTAAAATATTTGCGTGAAGTTTTAACTTTTTATAAAAACAGTTATTTCGAATTAGTGACGTGTCTTAAAAAGATCGATATTTTTATTAATCATTAAAAATAACTGTTTTTATAAAAATTTAAAACTTCATGCAAATATTTTAAAAAAATTAGAGAAAACTCCTTATATGACGTACTTCAACGCCCTTCAAGCTTTGTATTTTTGTAACATCCTGTATATTATATGAAATCTTTAAGGTAAGTTTGTCCACAAAAAAAAAATGTGTACTCAGAGCACACATCGGAAGTGAAAGTTCTTTTTTTTTATTTGGGAAACAAAAAATATTTTATTACATTTAGATTAATTAAATATAGATAATAACATACATCAACAAAGTTTCCACTTACAATTAGTACAGTTATGAGCAGCTGTGTATTTAAATAAAACTAGTTTTTACGGGTTAATGCACGAATCTTTATTTATTTATGACGTTTCGAAGCCTTTACAGGCTTCGTCGTCAGAATAAAACTTTTATTTAATTTGTCGAGCTACCTTCGAAAGAGTTTTATTGAAGACTTTTATTTAATGAGTGATGTGCGTGAAAACCTAAGAAACAAATAAGCTGTGTATTTATTAAAAAAACCATATAAAGTTAAATAAAAGATATGCGCCGAATGTTCGGCAGAATATTCGGTTCAAAATGTACCGAACTGAATGATTCGGCCGAATCATTCTTTTCAATTTTGCGCGGCAAACAGGTTTATTTATTTATATCACATTGCTCATGTACATTTTTTATTATAAGGTCTTACATACTTAATAGAGAGTGGTACATGACCCCGTTGTGGTGTAGCAACAAACTAAAGCTTAACATTAAATACATTAATTTCACTTAATCGTTGATCATATTAAATCACATCAGGTTCAACCAAATTTAAACAAAATCAATCCATTTTAAAAGTTAATCAAGTAAATTTATATCATATCATGTCATCATAATCATATCATATCATATCATAATAGTCAAATCAAAATCATATCGTATCAAGTTAAATCAAATCAAATCAAATTAATAGGTTTATATAAGTCCGTACCGCCGCTTCCTCTCTGCCCCGCGCGCGCCCGTGACTCATTGCGCTTGCACGGCTCACTCATTCTTCAAGTCTTTCATTTATAAAAGGTCAAAACTACCCGAAATCGTCGATCATGTATGAGTGGTAACTCTACTCATACATGATCGACGATTTCGGGACGATATCTCAGGATTTGTCCTGAGATATCAAGATTTTTGGATTCTTCTCAGGATTGCGGCTGGATTTTGCAAATCTCATGAAATCTCAGGATTTTTTGAATTTCCAATAAAACACAGCTTACTATAAAAAGTTAAACTAAAAATAATCTTCTATTGGTAATAATTGCACAATTAAAACCAGTACTTTATTATGCAAGTAAGTACTTAATCAGTTTTATCATACTTAATATGTGAAGATACATTTTTATGTAAGGTTTTTTCTTTAATTATGGATTCATATAATGCCCCACACGTTAAGCTCTTCATATTATATTGATTTAAAAGTGTAAGCAGAGTATAAACGATAATATTACGACTTTTTTAAATTGTTAAGTACTTTTGAGAGAAAATTCTCAAACTGTAAAAAATCTCAGGATTTTTCAATGGAAATCAAGCCTTTTCTCCGGACTTTTGATTTTATCATCTGGTAACCCTATGTATGAGGACTGTAATGAGAGTAGATGAAGCGAAAGAAGTATGTAAGAATCGTAGCAAGTGGAAAGAAGTAATCTTTGCCTACCCCTGTGGGAGAAAGGCGTGACTTTATGTATGTATTCATTTATAAAAACTGTGCACAAACAGTTCTCACAATTTACCATACCTTTTTAATTAAACTTAATTATGAAAGGAAAGAGTTCGATGGCGCAGGTGGCTAGCGCGTTCGGCTGCGATCGTTGAAGTTAAGCAACTTTCGCAGTGGTCGGTCATTGGATGGGTGACCAAAAATTTACTATCTCGAGCTCCTCCGTGCTTCGGAAGGCACGTTAAGCCGTTGGTCCCGACTGCATTTGCAGTCGTTAGCACCCACCAATCCGCACTGGGCCCGCGTGGTGGGTCATGGCCCAATCTCCCTATTCCATCCATAGGGAAGGCCTGTGCCCCAGCAGTGGGGACATTAATAGGCTGATGATGATGATGATGATGAAAGTAAAACATTGTTTTGAAATAATAATAATAATTTAATTATTCGGTAATCATTTGGCACATCAACCGAATATTCGGCCGAATAGGAACTTTAAAAAATATGCCGAATGTACCCAATACGAATATTCGGCGCGTCTCTAAATAAAATACGACATTCCTACTTAGTTTGGCCTGGCACTGGCACCGACTCCAAATATTAATTTGATTCAAGATAGAAATAGTTATTTATTATACAAGAGTGGAAAGTTCCTTTTTAACCGCGTGCTCGATTTGGATGACCGAGCAAGCGAAGGATTCTAAAGTTGAATCACGAGCGCAGCGAGTGATTCTAAATTAGAATCCTGAGCGTCAGCGAGGGAAACAAACGAGCACAAGGTGAAAAATCTTTCCACTCGAGTGCAATACGTAACTTTTCATCCCACCTCAGCGAGGAAATGACAAAATGAAAAAGAAAACAATTTATAATGACAAAATATTTAAGCAATAAAACGTGAAAAACTAGAATGGCGCGAAGCACGCAAATAAAACAAAGAAACCAAGAAGGTTCCAAATTTAAATTTTTTCACAATTTAAAAAGTTCTAATCATAAATTTGGCACCATAGAGGTTACATTAAATAGGTTTAATGACGTTTTGAATTTACAATTATATTGAGTACTCATTATATGTGATGTTCTAAATTCAAATCTACTTTGCCGCTCAAGCGAATAAAATAGAATTTTCCAGCCAGATTTCGAAGCGCAAAATTACACTTTCCGAGGTGGTGGGATGAAAAGGTTAATTTATTTTTTACCTTTCGGTGTAAATAATAATTCCGGCGGGTGTAATATTTTTTTCGCCGTTTCGCATCCTTTTCAGGACTTGGCGTCGACAGAATTAATAATAATATTCTTTATTGTAATACACCATACAAGAAAACACAAGTGAATTAAAAAACATGATAGATAGAACGTACACAATATAGCCGGCCTTATTGCTAGGCAGCAATCTCTTCCAGGCAACCCATAATAGAAAGATGCATAAATATGAAGGAGAAAAGGAGGGGTGTTATAGTTTACTAGCTGACCCAGCGAACTTCGTACCGCCCTAAAAAAATAGGGGTTGTCCAGCGGACAAAATTGTGAATCTAAACCATTCTCAGATCCCCTTGAACACACACAAAAAATTTCATCAAAATCGGTCAAGTCGTTTAAGAGAAGTTCAGTGACATACACACTCACAGAAGAAATATATATAAAGATAATATTAATATCAATGGCAGGAAAACAGATATATCTAAGGAAGGAAAGAGAGAGGATGGAGGATTTTTTTTACATCACTGTTGGGATAAGAAATAACTCCGAACTTGATCCCTGAACGAGTTCAGAGTGCGAGCCCTTCGAATAGTTTCTGGCAAAGACTTCCATATACGTACAGAATGCACAGAGAAGGAGTAGGAAAAGAAATCAGTAGAATGACTTGGAATTCTCTTATTTATGTCCTTAATTGAGGAACTAGATGGCGCAGGTGGTTAGCGCATTCGGCTGCGATCGTTGAAGTTAAGCAACTTTCACAGTGGTCGGTCATTGGATGGGTGACCCAAAATCTTCCAACTCGAGTTCATCCGTGCTTCAGAAGGCACGTTAAGCCGTTGGTCCCGGCTGCATCTGCAGTCGTTAGCACCCACCAATCTACACTGGGCTCGCGTGGTGGGTCATGGCCTAATCTCCCTATTCCATCCATAGGGAATGCCTGTGCCCTAGCAGTGGGGACATTAATACGCTGATGATGATGATGATTCCTAATTATAATATTGAACTTAATGCATATTTCATTATTATTAACATTCCTATAAGAATCTCGGTCATTACATAATATAATATTAAATAGGGGTGATGACAGGGTACAGTAAACGAAATTCTATTTAGTCCGTCAGTTAGATGATCAAAAAATAATGGACACGTATTTTTTCTTTGGGCAATCAAACAAAAAATGACAAAGTTATAGCGCGTCAAAGTTTGGGAGTAGGGGCTCGTGACGTCACTTTTGAGTGAATTTTCACTTATAAGTGTACTCAAACGTGACGTCATGCGACTTTTCAAATCAATATATCGCTGCAATGTTTATATTATGTGAAAAAAGAAAAAATACGTGTCCAATACTTTTTGATAATCTACCTGATAAACGATGAAAAAAAAATAGTCATCATCCTTATTGTAAAAAAAATGTACTTAGACGATATTTATTATTGCCTTGCAGCTTAAGAGTAGCAATCAGAATTTTGACGCGGTCCGTGTGGGCCGCGGTAGCATAATTGGTCAGTGCATTCGCCCGGATTGCGAAGGGTGCGGTTTCGAGTCCCGTCTGCTGCCTGGTCCGCGTGGAATTTTTTCTAGTTATATTTTCTTTGGATTTAAACATCAAGCAGTTACATGCTTTAAAATAATAAAAAATATAGATATTTATTATGATTTATAGCACGACTTCCTGTGCGAGTTCGACCCGGTAGTACTGCAGATGGCTCGCTTAGTTCCGGCCGGGGGCGCCATACAAGTGGCCCTTAAGTATAAAACTACGGCCTACAAAGTGCTGAGTATTTGGTAACTATGTATAATTTATATTCATTTATTTCATTCTTGCCGTTTACATGCTGTTACAAAAAAAAATGGGTGCGTGTACTAGTGTACACACGTAAGAAGTGAAACTTCTTTATGGTCTTATTTTTCGAAAAATGATCTACATGCAACTTTCCAGAAATTGGTTAGATAAAGTTAAATTAGATAAAGTTTAAACAAAAGGGTTTTATTATCATAGACATGAATACAAATTACTGCCTATGAAACTGTTATGATTACACGGCTCAGTAATCTAAGGCACATGTTCCACCTCCGACGATGAACGATAAGCGAGTAGAAACTAGAAACGAATTGGCAGTCCTGAGTTAAAATGCACGCGCACGGCTTTTGACAGCCAAGCCAGCTTAACCGAGCGAGTATAGCTGAGCGAGTATCGCTGAGCTAGTATCGCTGAGCGAGAATGCTGAGCGAGTATCGCTGAGCGAGAATCGCTGAGCGAGTATAGCTGAGCGAGTATCGCTGAGCGAGTATCGCTGAGCGAGTATCGCTGAGCGAGAATCGCTGAGCGAGTATCGCTGGGCGAGTATCGCTGAGCGTGTATCGCTGAGCGAGTATCGCTATGCGAGTTTGGCTGAGCGAGTCTTATCTTTAATAACTATTGTCACTCAGCTACAAATGAGTAGAGAGAGTTCTCGCCGGCGACAGGTGATCATTCAGCTATCAACTATTAATATAAAAAAAGATGGCGCGTAACGGAAAAATGTGACGCGTAACCGAAAAATGTGACGGTAAATTTTTTTCCAACGCCGATAAAGAAGTTGCACTTCAAAAATATGATTCCAAACAAGTACCCAGTTTGGGTATTGCAATAATAGGGTATTTGACAGTATTAAAAAGAAAGTGCTAATTGTTAGCATCTGTGTTTAGAATGAAGAAGCATTTTTGCGGGCCGGCAAGGTGAGGATGGTTGGTGTGGCAGTTTGTAACTGCTGTACCAGCTATCTTCGCGTTTGGACTTTATCACCACTTAACATCAGGCGGGGTAGAGTCATTTGCCTACCTAGTTATATATATATAGAAAAATGAATATAGGCAGGGGTTTTTACTATTTTTACAAAAAAAATATTCATAATTTTACTAAGAACCCACGAAAAAGATAATAGTTTTCTTATCTTTTGTCACGTGACCCAAAACGCTTGGGATTGGCGGAGCCTAAAATGACGTCACACACAAGTAAACTTCCGGTTAAAGTGACATTACATTGTATCGTTTGACGTTTTAATAACAGTCGCACCAGTGAGACGCCATATTGTCCAGAGAAACGTTTTTGTTTCTCTGGACAACTGGACTGGACTGGAAAGTGGAGTTTTTGAATTGGGTATTTTTACTGAAATACGCAACAGAATGATGAATATCCACTTTTTACGGACTCCATAAACACTAGTCAATAACGTGAGATCGTTTTCTAAAACTTGTCAAATACCCTATTCTTACAAACGGAATAGGTAGATTTACAGTCATAATTATGAATCATAATTTATTTGGTACTAGTGGCCCGCCCTCGCTTCGCTTCGGTGTAGGGCTGTAGTGTAGACTAAAATGACTCCTCATATAATTATAAAAAAAAGACTGAAAATGGTATACATTTCCCTTTTCCAAACTTCTATTGATATCACATCACTCAATTGTTTTGCCTTCCCGAATCCACTTCACTAACATTTGAAATTTATGTTATGGTATTAAAGTACAAAGGACTATGGGCGGAATCGTCCCCACCCATCAACACAAATGAAATGTAGCTCAATTGATAGATCTTGGCAAGATGATAGTTTTTTACTATGGCGACGTTGCCCAAATGCATGGGGTTCTCATTATATCTTACGTTTAAATAAATATCTCATTGACGTATTATTGACGACTAATTCCAAAATACCTACTCATTTTTCTTTACATTAGTGTACAGAGGCGGGCTGTGCATGATCATAAAGATAACAGGTTACAAAATAACCCCATCCCCCCGCTCCCCGCCCCATGCTCCTGCGCAGGCGTCCTAACCTTAGCCACAGTCAGTTCGCTAAGTTGATGTTCAGAGAGCCCCGGACGAGTCAGTGATCACTACCGGTATTGAACCTGTTGATCACGGAGACGTCTCTGAATATGAACCTCTTGTTCGTCACGATGAAATCGATCTCACTTTTAGTCATAGTATCGGGGCTTTGCCACGTTCACTTCCTTTGGGGCTGTTTCTTAAAGAAAGAGTTCATCAAGAAGAGCCCTTTCTGTTTGCCCCCTATGATTTCTGCTTCCAAATCAATGGAATCCTACTTATAACATAACAACGTTGTAGTAGGTCTTAGTAGTGGAGTGGAGGGCCCTCGATATATCATCGAACATATTCTCCACCTCGTCGTCCGAGTGTGTCGAGGTCGGTGCGTACACTTGCACCACCTTGAGGCTATACCTCTCGGTGAGCTTTATAATAAGGTACACTACCCTATTCGACACGCTGGACATTTCCACAACGTTATCGGCAAGGGACTTATTTACCAAAAACCCAACGCCACCTTGGGACTGTTGGTCTCCCCCGCGGAAGTACATTAGGTGGCCCGATTCGAGGGTTATGGTGTCCTCCCCCTCTTCTTCCTCGTCGCCTTCGTCCTCTTCGGACTTCACTAACTCTAACACGTGCCACCTAATCTTCCCAAGTTCCACCTCGAGTTGCGCCAGATGCGAGTCAAGCCGTAGCGTGCGTGCGTTGTACGTCGCCAGGGCCAGTCTATTGTGGTGGCCTCCCGTAGCCCGAAGATTGTTGGCACACCCCGCCCCGCCGTTACCATGGTCGCCACCGTGACCAGGAATAACGGGGCTGCCGGGAACTGGGGGCCGTGGTTTGTAGTCTGTGTGCATTAAAGATATTGCCCGTAATCACCACGTTGGACAGGCGGGTTGGTGATCGGTACACAGCTACAATAATAAACATAAGTGAGTAAAAAAGGCACGATAATAGTGTGCAATAGCATGCACTATTTTTATTCGCCTACTATGAGTGTTATAAGAATATAAATCATTTATATCAATTATATACATATACTATACATATAATAGATAACTACTATTTCAAATACGTTTTGTATATTTTGTTTAATAACTCAATCATATTTTGTACTGTAATATAACCATAATATTAAAATAACTTACAAATGTGAAATAAAAATATACGTTAATTAATAATTACAAATAGATTTTTTTTTATATATTCCCAGTGATTTATCTAAAATAAATTATTTTAATCAAATAGGAAGCACTTTAGAAACACATTGGTATCAGTTCCATGTTTGTTGGTGGGTGGGGACGGAGCCCATACATTTTTGCCCATAGTCCTTTACTTTTAAGTATTATTCAAAATCATTTGTAGGGGAGTGTTGAAAAGTGTTGCTTTTGGACATTTTCAGGCAATTTTTTTTAAAAATTTCTCTGCGTAAGTACTATGCTCGTACTTCAAGGCATACTCTAAAAAAAGAATTATCGAAATCGGTTCAGCTGTTCTCGAAATTTGCGCTTAGCAAAACATTGATTTTTATATTATAGAAGAAGAAAATAAACACGGTATAATTGCATAAAGTGGATTGAGCACGTGTTTTGCCATTTTAAAAAAAGCATGCAAAAAATTCATATGGAGTAAATTAAAGAAAAAGAGATTAATTACTTCTAACATTTTTCTGTAGAATTGTGAACGTCAGAGTTACCTAATAATATCTCAATAAAATATACAATGTCAACATATTATTATAAATAAATAAATAAATAATAAATATTTCCAACACTCACACCAATTAGCCTAGCCCCAAAGTAAGCACTGTAAGGCTTGTGTTATGGGATCCTAGGGTAACGGATAGAATACATGTACTGTACATATATTAGTATGGATTTATACAGAAATACATATTTAACATCCATGACTGGAGTACAAATGCTCGTATTCATCACACAAACATCTGCCCCCACCGGGATTCGAACCCGGGACCTCTCGAGTAGGCGACACCATGAAAGCCGGCGTACAAACCACTCGACCACGGTGGTCGTCATATTATTACAAGGTTTCTAAAAGTCAGATAAAAAAATGAAAAGGGATACATCTACTCTACTATATAAAAATAAGTCGGGTTTTCCTTCCTGACGCTATAACTCCAGAACGCACGAACCGATTTCCACGGTTTTACATTCGTTGGAAAGGTCTCGGGCTCCGTGAGGTTTATAGCAAAGAAAATTCAGAAAAAATTAAAAAAATAAACTTCTTTTAATCACCAAACGAAATGTTACATAAAACGAAGCCATCTGGTGGCGAAACGGAGTTCGCCGGGTTTGCTAGTTTATCATAATTATTTGAAGGATAGAAATCCTAAAGGGACTCTTTTTAATAATTTATTTTAGTTATTATATTTTATTTTTTAAGGTTTTTAATTTTAGGTTCATTGTTATAGTTTATTTTTTGTTTAAAGCTAGTGTTAGATTATAGTATACTAGCAAACCAGTGAACCAAATGTTCTCCAAAACCTGATTTTAAAAAAAAATTAATTAATTGAGAACTTCGGAGATTTTGTGTGGTTTCGTTTGAAATTCGTGATTTCTCGAAAACCGGAAGTGCTACGTTACTCAAATCCGGTTTGTAGTCTTATCAGACTATTCTTAACTTATAACTTAAATATTCTCTTTATCTATCTCTTACGGTTTGGCCGCTGAAACAGCACCACAGACAGACGGACGGACGGACTTGTCTAATAGATAAGAGATTTGTTAAGTTACGATACGTAATACCGTTAACACAATATCAACAGAGAATACTTGGAAGTAAACAGTTAATGATGACATATGATGTGTCTAACACCATCTTATATATAAAACTAGCTGACCCAGCGAACTTCGAACCGCCATAAAAAAAAAATTAAAAAAACATTGTCCAACGGACAAAATTGTGAATCTAAACCATTCTCAGATCCCCTTGAACACACACTAAAAATTTCATC